GGTAGAAGAGATCAATGATGCAGTCAAGCACATTCCAACGGTCACTACAAAAGCAATGGAAATCAACTGCATTAGGGGAGCATAAATAAATAAAGTCAATGCACAGATCAAATGTCATTCAGACGCAAGAGAATCGGTCCTCGGATGCACACTACATTTACATGTTGCTACATTTTTCACACAGGAAAAGCGACGAAAAAATAGGGGGCCCTTATTCATGTGGCAAAACAATGAGTGTGGGCTCGAAACACCAAAACGTTTAATACTGGCTCCTAGTGCTGATGCACCCAAGTATTGAAAATGGTTCACCTTATTATGATTGATGCAGCTCGAAACAAAGAATAGAAGCCTATACTGCTGCACGCAGGCAATCAACAGTGGTCCATTTGGTTACCTTAGTCAAGATGGTTAACTAGTAAATCCGTCACTGAAAACTGATGGGTCACTGGTCACGTAGATGTATGCCCTATACATGTATATGAATCAAGTATTGTTCAAAAGTCAAAAACGCCAATCAAAAACCCGAAATACCTAAAGTATCTGGTAAACTTCTCTGGCCAGATATTGTCATTGCTCGTCTCATTTTCTTCTGATCCTTCGTTGTTGGGTTCATCACTCTCTTTATTCAACATTTTGCGTGCTTTTACTCCGGCCTTTTTAGCGCTAATAAACTGATCCACCTCCATGAAAATGCGTCCCAGGAAGAAAACTAAGATAGCCCATTCTAGTCGACTGAAGGAAACTGTTGAAGGGCTTAGGCAAATGGCGAAGTGAAGACCAACGAGGGTAAGATAGCTCAGCATGTCGCGAAAAAAGATGAAATAAGGAGTCGTAAAGTAATCCTTGTATTTCTCTGGAAGACAAGGAGTAGGACGTTAGCTTAGAATGAAAACTCTCGAGACTGAGAGGAAACTGGAACAGCTCTGGTATTGATAAAAATAAGCGAAAGAGATTTTAAACTACGTTTCGATGACGCCATGTCATCATTTTCAAGTGAAAAGAGAATAAACTTTTTAACAAGTATACCGTGCAAGGCGATAAAACGTAAAGTATGCATGTAAAAGAGACAAATTTGAATGAAATTTAAATAAACAGTTTTGCGCGTATGGAGTCTGATTGTTTGTTCAAGCACGGCCTTTTCTTCTTTATGATTAAAATCAGACAGTTCAGTTTTCCGTTACGCTTCTTAAAGACGGAAAAGTTGTCGGTAAGGTCGCCGATGGTTTCCAGACCGTGACGTGGTCGTTCTTTAAGTGCTTGCCGGTTGCTGAATAACGGTGCTCTTCAATACGTTGGTGTAAATGTCGGCTGTTGTAGCCGACATACTCTGCATCACACAGATCACATTTATAGCTTTAAACAACGCAAAAATAAATGGAAAAAATCCCTAAACGGTCTACGGAAATTTAGCTACCCAAAATAGCCCATCCTCACCATATATGTCCTTTCCTTCGATAACTGTAACAAAAGAGAAACGTGGAAATTTTAAAGTCAATGGCACAGGAGAGAGAGATGTGAAAACCTTAAAAAATGTATTCTTTCCGAAAGAAAATAAGAACATAGTCATACTGAGGAGGGGTGTCTCTTATAGTAATGTTAAATCTCCTTGTGCTACCTTGTATGACAGCTGTTCCCAACGTTTCAGGTGACTCGTATTCTCCAAAGCGACGTGCTGTGCCATCATTAGTTGCGATTACTTTTAATTCTGATAATTTGGCGTAATCTCCAACACCGACGGGAACGATGTTAACTTGCATATCCCTTATCTTCTTTTGTACTCGCT